AAAGAGTTTTTAAATATTGCAAAAAGTATTTTTTACATGTCATCTAATGCCACAGCCCACTCCCATGTCCTGAAAGATTAGAATACTAAGGTAATAAATCTCCACAGGATTTTGATAACCCACTTAAAATCCTTAGTAGGATAAATTCCATTTCAAAAAGATCCACTTTGACTTGCAGCATTCCAGTCTCCTTATTCTTCCTTTGTCATCTCTGCCTTCCAGGTCAGATAAAGCTAAGACAGTAAGCCGTGTATAGGGGACAGTGACATAAATGCAAATTTTAAACTTGGCTCTGTCACTTATTATCAATATGGCCATGTGCTATGGTTCGAATGTGTTAGAAATGTAGGCCCCAAATTCATATGTTGATGGTATTTGGAGGTGGAGTCTTTAGGAGGTAATTAGGAGTAGGTCATTAGGTAATTAGCTAAGATTAGCAAGGTGGGGCCCACGTGATAGACTGGTGACTTTATACGAAGACACCTAAGCTGGCATGAGCTTGCTCTGTCTTTCCATGTGATGCCATGGCAAGATGTCGCCAGACGTCGGAAACTTGATAATGGACTTGCCAGGCTCCAGACCATGAGCTAAATAAATCTGTTTTCTTCATAGGTTACCCAGTCTATGGCATTCAGGTACAGAAACAGAAAACAGACTAACACCATGAGTCATCTTCTTTCTTCCATCTTAACACCTCAGTTCCTGGGTTCCCTTCTATGTAAAGAATCCTTAATCCTACATCAAAGGGTTATTAGAAAATGACACAGGCTGTTAATAATGGATCTAGTAGTGGGCCTGCAGAAAGTACCATGTATTTCAGTTTCCTTCATCTCCCTTCTCTCTTCAACCTCCCCTTTCAGTAATACTGTAAACCAGGAGACAGGGCCTTAAATGTTACCTGCCCACATGATTTATTGAACTACAATGGGGACCTATTTAAAACTGCTCAAACATTTCCATTGTGTGATTAACTGAATCATCCTTTATACCTCAACATTTGCAAATTGAAATAACCAGTAATTCCCTAGGAACAATATAAGAAAATAAATGAAACCATTACTGTAAACATTTAGCACTTAAAAGTAAGTATCATGCTATCATTCTATGAATCTGGCATTTTAAACAAGTCAAAAGGCTGTCTGAAAGTTCACAAATGCAAGGTTTTATCTTTGTGTCAAGTCCATTAATAACAAGGCCAGTAGGTGGCATGTTGGTTAAGGCATTGGCCTCCCACATGGCCAACAGCAGTTTGAGTCTTAGACCTGGGGGCTTGCTTTCTCACATGATTTCTCTCTCTCTGCTGAGTACACATGTTCTGTAGCAAGCTAAACAATAATAATAATAATGATAAATAAAATTAAATAAACAATTATTTAAAAATCTATTAATAATTATTGAGTTTTCTAAAAATGAAGCCTATAATACTTCTAGCTTATTTAATAAACTAAAACTGAAGCAGGCTTTACATTAAGTTATATTAAACTAAAAGAACACTTTAAAGGTTTCATTCAAAGATATCATTCATTCACTGAATTTCAGTTTAATACCAAGATTTGAATGATGGCTTTTCTAAAACTTATCAACAGCAGTAACAGTCACACAGACTAGAAATAAGAACATGGACTATGTAAAATAGTATTAGTTACTTGATTTATGTTATTTGCTGAGTTACATCTGCAAGGTGAACTTACTTTTGTCTTGACAGAGAAGCATTCTTGCTACAGCTCAGATGTGACATAGTCCTATTTTTTATACCTGTAAAAATATACAGTCATGTTCAGTAGACTGGAACATTGCCTCTGTGAATTTTGAACTCTGTATTTAAAATAATCTGACTATTCATTCTGCAGCCTTTTGTTCTTGGATTAATGTTCACCTCTCGAAGGGATTTTCCCCAGTACAGAAACTCCAGGAGCTGCTCCCGACATAGGCACTGCCAAAAGTCTGGGAATATCCACCTCCCTCATGTATGTACACTGGAGGATCAGCTCAGGCAGCTTGGTCTCTGCTTTCATCAATGGCCCTTTTTCTCACTAGTCAAGTCCCTATTTCCTTAGGTCCTTGTTCCTCAAGTACCAAAAGAGGAGTTTTAAGACCTGTCTTTTAACAATGGTAATCTCTCTTTATTTGCCTTCTAAACAACACTGTGTAATTGAGTGTAGTTTTTGGTGTATGGGCCCATCAGGGCACTACAGGGCACGTGGTGCTAACTGTGCACATAAAGGAATATAACAGTCAACAGCTTTGTATTACAGAGGAAAGAAAATAGAAACAGTATACAATCAATCAGGAAATTTAAAAATAATACCATAAATCATACCAATGTTTTTCAAAGTAGTTTATAACCTAATTATTAGGTCATTGGGAAAGTCATGACATATTTTTCTGTTTTTCTTTGCAAAAACGTGCCATCCTAACAACCCAATAAAAGAGAATACAAAGGGGCCAGTAGGTGGAATGGTGGTTAAGTTGCTGGACTCCCACATGGCTGATTGCAGTTTGAGTGCCAGACCTGGTGGATTGAAACTCATGCCAGGCGTGTGTGTGTGTGTGTGTGTGTGTGTGTGTGTGTGTGCATGCCCCTGATCCCAAAAGAATGGAGGAGAAGGGATTTTGGCATAGCTGTCCCCACTGGAGGATAGCTATTTTCACTTTCCCTCTGTCTATGTCTACATTAGTGTGCTAGTTTCTTTCTTTCTTTTTTTTCTTTTTCTTTTTTTTTTTTTTTGAGAGGTTTTTGCTATAGGGTGCATGTGCTTGCCAGAAAGACAGAGAGAGACATAGAGACAGAAAGCGAGAAGTCACCCCCTGGGGCGGATGGCCAGGCCGCAATCCCTTCTCCTCCATTCTCCTCTCGGGATCTTGGGCACGCATGCACACACGCCCAGCGTGAGTTTTAAGCCAGTGGGTCCAGGACACGAACCGTGGTTGACTACGTGGGAGTCCAGTGACACAGCCATTACGCTAACTGCTGGTTCCCGCACAACCCATGGTTGTTATATGTGGGTGCCCATGGATTATCATCGTGTGTGTCCAGGATAAGGGTGGCACCGACTGAAGAAAATGCGATTGGCTTTGCAAGAAACAAAAACAGACTGCAAAACCTCTATTTCTGGAAGAGGTAGATTGGACCAGGTGGACAAGGGATCTGAACCTCTGTTCTCTGTAAGTGGAGATGATAATTATCATCGTAAAAATGGATAAGAGCAAGTAAAGGTATGATCCTGGCTGCAGAAAGTCATCTGGAAGGTCGCCATACTATACTTGGAGGCTGAAGTCTAGTGTCGCTCTTTTTCCCTGAATTAAACCCTCTGACTTTGGGAAGCAATGCCAGGCTCATGGGGTGAGGACATATCCTATCACTGGGTTCCCAGAAAAGTCATAATGCATTTTTGCATAGAAATACAGAAAAAAATACATCATGACTTTTCTTACAACTCAATATAAAGATATAACACCTTTTGAAAAAGTATAAGGAAACTCTTATTTAGTGACTCTAATCATTAAAAAAGAGGCTGGAGTTTACTAGCACACTTAGGGTAATTAGAGAACTCTAACATCTATTAATACAGTTAGAAATATTAAGCTGTGTTTTGTTAATTTTTAATAAAAAGCTAAGTATGAAACTATATTCATGACTAAGAGCAACTTTATGTTTTAAGGAATATAAAATTTTAGGCACTATCATTTTTTTATGTTGAAACTCCACTGTTGTAAAGTTGACATAAAATGACACAAAACAAGTAATTTGGAGGGATGGGGTATTCAAGACCTAAACAAATGACATATATCAGAAATCCACAATGTACATGAGGTGGAGACTTTTAAATAGGTGGAGGATGGGCTCTTTATTCGTGTTCACAAGAGATATATTTAGGGGCTGGATGATTGTACAGTGGTGAAACATGGCACTCTGCAACCCTGACCCACATGGGAAGGTTCCTGGTTTGAGTCAGGAGACCACGAGTGTAGCAGGCACATGCCACATGCATGCCCGTGATGTGGGCTGGCTGGAGCTGGGGCTAGATCATGGCATCAAGACCTTGTTGGGGATGCTGTCTTTCTCTCTATCTCCCTTACTTATGGAAGAAATAATAAACCTAAGAAAAGGTCATGTTAAATGGCAGTTTTCATCTTTTTATTCTTCCTTAGATATACATTTTTCTTAGAAAAGACATTTAAGCTTTGTATACTCGCCCACTATCCTATTACCAACTAAAAAAGGAATAGGTCTCAAATCTGGACAGACGTATTATGTCTCCTTAGAATGAAAATGCCCATGTTTCTTATTTATATGTGATGTTCTATCATGTGGCATCAATAAGTCTCATGACCTAATAAATATATATAAGGTCTATGAGAGCAGGGATATTTTCCCTCTGTTTTTACTGCTCTATTTCCAGTTCTTAGAACAGAAGCTGGTACCTGGTGTACACCACATATGATGTATAAAAAGATCTGTGTAAGACTGATTCACTTGTAACAGCCTTAAATTGATATCAAAGCTGTCTCTAACATGCTTTTCTTTCTTTCCTTGTCTGTGTGTGCATGTATGTGTGTGTGGTGTTATAGACGGGGTCTTACTACACCCTAATCTTCCTGTTTCAGCTCCTAAAGCAGCTGGACTACCAGGACAAACCACCATGGCTGGCTCTTTTCAAAGGATGGGCTAAGGGGCCAGCCTATGACATAATGGTTATGCCTCTGGACTCCCACATAGTTGACCATGATTTGAGTCCCGGGCCCCGTGACTCACACACAGCCTGTGTGCGTGTGTGCCCAAGATCCCAAGAGGAGAATGAAGAAGGGGCTGTGACATGGTTATCTCCCCTGGGGGTGATTTCTTGCTTTCTGTCTCTCTGTCTCTCCAGTGAGCATATACGTCCTACAGCAAAAATCTCTCTCTAAAAAAAAAAGAAGATAAAGGATGGGCTAAGAATGAAACACGGGCCTCCTGAGGGGCTCTGGCCCACTGAGCAGCAGCATCCAGTGTGCTACTGTGGCTGAGGCAATACTAAGCATTTTACAATTGGCTTAGGAATGGTGCACTAAAGAAGTGAAATTAGTTGACTCTGTAGCTTCGTGGGTAAGGGAACTGGATCTCACATAGCCCACTACACTATGATTTCTGACCCCAGTAGCTTGAAAAACATGCTTGGTGTGTGTGTGTGCATGCCCCAAATCTGAACAGAGTGGAGAAATGGAGGAGAAGGGACTACAGCCTGAACACAGCCTATTAAGAGATTCCTCTCTCTCTCTGGCAATTACATGGATCCTCTAGCAATTAAAACAAAACCAAATATGCCAAAGTGCAATGATTTTATTCCGTAAACATAATCGTGAACATCAATCAATCAATAAAAAACTAAAAAACAATTGACAACTAACAAGGTAAAGATGAATTTAACTTTGGAATTCTGAAATGAGTGGTTTTTTTCAGGTAGAGGCTTCCAAATATTTTTGAATCTACCTGTGACATAGTGTGTATTTTCTGTGAAAACATGCCATGAAATACTCAGAGTTTTTGTTTTGCTGAATACATCATGGTAAAAATAAAAATACGTCTGCATTTAGGAACTAGCTTAGGGGTGCCAACCTCCTCCTGGGCAGCATGCCTACTCCCCTTACCTCCGTTGCTCAAGTCCGGCTTATTCCAGGTAGGTGAAGAGAAACGGCCAGACTTCTTTCGAGGACTGGTGTTCACCTTTCTCCAGGCACCACTCTCGCCTTTCTTCTTGCTGCAATTGTAACTCGAAACTAGGGATAAGGGGAAGCTTCCTCCTTTGAAGTCCGCAATATGCTGGTCTAGCTCTGAAACAACACAAACCACATACTGCCTAAAAGGAAGTCAGTGCTAAGGTAGTTTCTGATCATAAAGCAATGTGCATTTCCTGTTCTCAAAGATACGGACTCTTCGAAATCAAGGCCCTGGCTCAACACCCACACAGGGTGCACCAGCATGAACCTCACAGGGCTGGAATTCGAACACCAGCTAATGATTAAAAACAGAGTTAGGTCTGGAGCAATGTTGTGAAATGTCCATTAATTTTTCTAGTTACAAAGAAAGTAAATCCCTTATAGATGAATTCAAGAAGTGTCATATAAAGGTGTGAATGGCCTGTCCATGCACTAACCCACATACCTGCTCTGGGAAGGGGACAGCCATGCAATACAGCTTTATTAAGCAAGATGCTGAGAGCAGCTTTGACCACAGCCTGCTGTCCTTGGCTGGGGTGTTTTTTAGCCATTGTCTGCCCAACACCAGGTTGTCTTTTCATAGAGGCTCTTGACAATATCGCTTCTTGAACTCTGGGTGCAATGACAGCATTCCACAGCTTTGACATCCACCTAGCAAGAGAGGTGGATTCACCAGTTAAGAGCAGGCTTCTGATGAACTACACACTACTTTACAAAAGGACAGGTTTAAAGACCTCTGGAGAAAAAAACAGACATGATTTTGTAAATGTGCTACCTTTCCCAGGTAATTTCTGAAAAGTAGAACTATCCAATATCACAGTAGCTTAAATTTGCTTAAAAAATGTAATGTATTTCAAATTAAAGTGAGTAGTTATATGTCTCTCAATGCTGGAATCAATGCTTGAGTATTTATGAATGAATGAATGAATGAATGAATGAACACATGCATGAATAAATACATGGAAAGTAGATTTAAAGAAGGAAGACGTATAGGAAAATTATTGGGTCATTGGGAAAGTCATGATGCATTTTTGTATAGAAAAACATAAAAAATATATTGTGATTGTCCTGATGACCTTATATTTTCTGAAAGTTCAAGTTTAAATAGCTTATACTTATTTGCTACATTTTCTTATTAAGACACACATATATTATACCTTAATATTTTTGAAACCAAGGACAAACTAAATGTGCTTCCTCCAAGCCACAGGCTCACTGCTGCACATGGGTGAACTCAGCCCTGCAGAGGGTGGTGTCAACTGGCCATTGCCTCTGGTGGACTCTCTGTATTAACAGCCGTAAGTCATGGGACTTCAGCCCAAATATGGAGTACTCAATGCCAATTAAAATCCCTTCAAGAAGTATTACAATTTGTTGTAGCATTAAGAAACAGTCACTATTGGACTACCTCCATAGACCATGGCTAGATCCCACATGGCCATCCATATGGTTCAAGTCCCAGATCTGGTGCTTAAGAAACATTCCAGGCATGTGTACATGCATGTCCAAAATCTCAAAAGGATGGAGAGACTGTGGTGTAACTATTCTCCATGGGAGGGTGCTTTCTCCTCTCCCTTAGTCTCTCTTTCTACCAGTATATGTGCCCTCTAGCAAACAAACAATCAAGCAAAGCAAAACAAAATAAAACAAAACAAAACAGTTACTGTGATTGGGACTAGCAGTTGGTATAATGGCTATATTGCTGGGCTCCCATAGTAGACCATGGTTCAAGTCCCAGACCCGGTGGCTTAAACTCATGCTGAGCGCATGTGCATGTGTGCATGCATGCCCAACCTCCCAAGAGGAGATTGGAGGAGAAGGGATTGTGGTGTGGCTATCCCCCTTAGAGGGTGATTTCTCACTTTCTGTCTCGGTCTCTGTCTTTCTGGCAAGTGCACGTGCCCTATAGCAAAAACCTCTCAAAAAAACCAAAACAAAACAAAAACAAAACAAAACAAATGAAAAAGAAAACAGTTACTGTGATTAAAGAGTGTAGAAACAAAACCGCATTTCTTAGGACTGGACCTTTTTCAAAGCCATTAGATACTAGCATGTAACTTCCAAGTGTTGTTAAAAGCTATTACCCAGGGATCTGTAGATTAATCCATTGTAAACTTCTCTGTTTATGTCTAGGGGTATGTAATTCAACAATAACAAAAAAGAAATTAAACTGCAATTAGGAATGCAGACAAAACTGATATTCCATTGTATAATGTAAGTCAAGATTACACTGTATAAAGTGCTAAAGGTATAAAATGATAAGCTTTGCTTTAAAAAATAAAAGCTGCTCCTAACATGCTGTTGGGAGACAATTCTGTATGGCATTTCTACACATCTGGTGTCAGCTTTCATTTTGGACTATTTTTAGATGTGAAAGATAGAGATGGTACCTTCTTTGGGAGCCTAGCATAGATGTGTCTCCTGACCAAGTTAATGAAGGTAACATTTCCTTCCAGGGCAATAGATGGGCAGATTTGCCAGCATCCTCTTTCAGAAGCCCTGAAGGGAGCTCCAGAACTGTGATCAGCAAATCCAGTATCCCTCTGGGCTGCTGCTCTGCATTACCCATGGAATGTAGGGGCAAGAGATACCTAAAAACCTGAAGCTTGGGCTGTCTTCTGTGCAGTAAGTGATAAAGTCCTTTGCTCCTGATCCAGAGTCCAAAACCTATTAGCTTGCAATTGGTACAATTCCCAGAGCTGCCACAGTTCTTGACACAGACTATGCTCTGTCTAGGAAAGGCAAAAATTGGTTTCTAATTATCTTGAGACTCTGGTATAAAAAAATGCTTAAACAGAATTGTGATACTGACAAAGAAAGTGGTAAATACATCAATAAATGCATTTGGTTTTCAGCAAGAAAATGCTCTGTATATTTAATTTAGTACTTCTTTCTTCCCCCTGGGAACTGTTATTAAATTGATGGTGTGTCTATAATAAAGGAGGTACATTATTTGCATCCTCTGCTTTCCAAAATGGATTGCTATTTGGGAAGACAGAAAATGTGGAATCAAATTTGCCAGCTAATCACAGAACCCTTACTAAGCTGGAGGGTGACAATGCTTTTCCTCTTTTCAATTTCCTCCTGATTTTCTATTACATTAACCTTATTGTATATATGTCTGTTCACATAAGCTTCTTCAAAAGAAAACACATTTAAGTGTCTATGTCTCAATAAAGGTTTTCAATTTATTAATAGAAAGCAGGCCTTTGGGGTGAGGGGCATAAAACACATTTCAAGATTTCTAGTGTGGGACCTACCCCAAGAGATACTTCACTGTAAGCTGAACATGACTCTGATGAGTTTTGTAATAAGGGGAAATTGTACCCTACAGCAGACAGGTCACAGTCTCTCTCTGACGAGAGCATGGAGCAATGGCTTTCCATGTGGATGACAAGAAGTGGCCCATGGCAGCCTGGTCAGCATTCTCACTCTCAGACATCCCAAATTTGCCAAAGTTCTATTTTAAGTTGGTAAATAAGGAGAAATGGCACTTACTTCACTGTTGCTTGGGCATGTCCTGGGACTACAGGACAAGCTAGGAAATACTTTGGGCCCAGAAGCGCTTCAGGTGTGCCCAAGCGGGCCAGGCAGGAGTTGAGCTGACGCCAGACAGACAGAGCCCAGTCGATGATCTTGCACACGGGATCGCAGGGTGAAGGCACCTGACCTCTGAACTGGAGAGACAGGGAGGTGGAACACAGGGACTTGGCTTAGAACATACTGCTATTCTTTTTGTTTTGGGAATCTAAAATTAAAAATATAAGACAAAAATTGTGTGGAACCTGATTTTACGTTTACTTGTGGTGGTTGAAGGAAAGATAACCAGTCATACATATTAGGACATATCAGTAGGTGTGCTAACGTGTTAGTGTGATAAACATTTTTCTCATTTAATTTAATTCTTACCACAAGCCAGAGGTAGACATTTTAACCATTTTATATATCAAAGGAGTGAGTATGAAGAAATTATAACTTGCCCAGGTTACATAGGTAATAGGGGGCAAAGCTAAGGCCAAAGTTGATTTCAATTTTCTTAATAAGGCAAAATTGACAAATAATTATATATATTTATGGTGTACAATGTAGTGTTTTGATATAAAAGGATTTTGAAAAGTTTGTGGAAAAAGGGAGTAAGTTTAGAGACCGGCAGGTGACATGATAGTTAAGGTGCTAGACTTGCACATAGCCAAATGTGGTTCAAGTCTTAGACCTGGTGGCTTGCTTAGACACTTTTCCTCTCTCTCTCTCTCTCTCTCTCTCAGTCTCTGGTGAGTACCTGTGCCCTATAGCAAATTATGAAATAATAATAAATTTTTTTCATAAAAGGAACAAGTATATTTTGGTATAAAAAATTTTGAATTCCATGCATTTTAAGATATAATATACATTTCCATGAACTTTTTGAAGACCCTGCATATGACCTTTCATACACACACACAGACACACACACACACACACACACACACACACACACACACACACACACATATATATGTATATACAAATACACACAAGTGAAATTAAGTCAAGTTAATTAAGTCATCACTTCACTTTTTTTGTGGTGAGAACGTCAACTTTACTCTTTTAGCAGCTTTCAAATATGCATTATTGCTAACTTTATAGCTTATTTTTATTTTATTTTATTTTATTTTTTTTGGGGGGGGAGAGATTTTCACTGTAGGGCGCGTGCGCTCGCCAGACAGACAGAGAGAGACATAGAGACAGAAAGCGAGAAATCACCCCCCAGGGGGGATGGTCACGCCGCAATCCCTTCTCCTCCATTCTCCTCTCGGGATCTTGGGCACGCACGCACACGCGCCCGGCGTGAGTTTTAAGCCACCGGGTCCGGGACATGAACCGCGGTCGACTACGTGGGAGTCCAGCGACATAGCCATTACGCTAACTGCTGGTTCCCAGCTTATTTTTAATAAATAGAACAATAGTGTTAAAATACTGACTTAGGCCCACACCTGGTGTCACACACTGGTGAGACACTATGCTCTGAAGGACGGCACTAAATGGGAAGCCCAGGTTCAATTCCTGGTCCAACCTAAAGGCCAGGCGTGGTGGCGTGCACCCATAGTCCTAGCGACTCAGGAAGCTGCTCTGGGTAACACAGTGAGACTCTGTCAGAAAAGGAGTCAGTCATGGTGGCATGCACCTGCCACTCTCAGCTGGGAGGTTGAGGCAGGAGGATTACAACACAGTAAGATTATATTTATTTATTTAGGTTTAAGAATTATTTTAATTCAAAGCAGCATTTAGTGAAATAATAAAAAAAGGAGTTCATCACATTTAAAATGAAGTTGGTGGGTGTGGCAGGTGGCATGGTGGTTGAGGCGCTAGACTCCCACCTGGCTGGCTACAGTTTGAGTCCTGGACCTGGCAGCTTGCTTTCTCACTTTCCCTTTCTCACTCTCTGTCTCTCTCTGGTCAAATTAAAAAATAATAACAAATAAAATTAAATAATTCTTTTTAAAAAAACCAAGTTGGTTAAAACCATTAAGCTCAAGAAATTTCTTCCTCGAGCTTAACATTTCCAATGATTTCTGTTCAAGTCTTACTCCCTATAGTTGGCCAGGGCTGAGGGGAGAGGACAGGCTTAGCTCTGTGGGCCGCTGACAGAGGGAAAGGTGTCTCCCAGCTACCTCATCAAAGCCACATGTGAAATCAGGGAGGGGGAGGGCAAAGCTCTCACTTAAACTGAGTCCCCAGGGAAACATATTTTTGTTTTTTCTTAGCAAAATTAAATTATTCTCTTAATGACTGTCCAGTAAACTGCTTTTAAAGATCACATTGTTAGGTAATCTGATAGAAGAAGACAAAGGCAAAATGATATTTGTCAACTCTGAGGACCTGAAGAAACAGGTGGGCACCTCTTCTCTCCAAATTGCAGACGTGTACATGAAATTTCCTACTTTGTGGGCTTGCCCTAAAGCATAGTAGCTGAGCCTTGTATGTTGGGAGTCAAATCCCACATCTTTGACTGTAGCAGTTCAAATCCTGGCTCTGGTGGTTTGAAAAACCAAATCCTAATAAAATGGAGAAATGGAAAACAAAAACAAAAACAAAAACAGAAAGAAAGAAAGGATTGTGGTGTGATCAGGCCCTATTAAGGGCTGCTTCTCCCCTCTCTTTTTCTGGTAATTAAAAACAAAACAAAAATTTTCTCATTTTGCAAGTTTGCTATTTCATGGTAACAGTGGTTGTTGTTTGACAGTACATTAAAAATTGATATTTCTTGGGCCATCAGATGGCATAGTGGTTATGTCGCTGGACTCCCATGTGGTTGATCATGGTTCGAGTCCTGGACCTGGTGGCTTGAAACTCATGCCAGGCATGTATGCGTGCATGCCCAAAATCCCGAGAGGAAAACAGAGGAGAAGGTATTGCAACATGGCCATCTCCCTGGCGGTGATTTCTCACTCTCCCCATCTCTGTCTCTCTCTCTCTCTTCAGCAAGTGCATTTACCCAAGGCAAATACCTCTTAAAAACAAAACAAAAAATGAAACAAACTGGTATTTCCTTAAAGGACTATCCAGTAAACTGAATTTCTAATTACTAAATGTTTCTGTGTTCTTAACATCTACCTGTTGAACATAAACACAATTTTGTGGAGATGTTTAGAGTCCTGTATTTAAAAGCATATTTATTATATGCCTACTATACATAATCAGTGATAACTACTATAGGAAAATAAAAAAGACATGTTCATTTGTGTAGTCACAACTGTAGGAAACAACAACAAAAAGTTGCATCAAAAGCTAAGAGAGAAGTAATCAGCTTCAGGGGAGAATGAGGTCTGACTGAGCAACACACAGACCAATCGTGTCTGCCGATGCCTCTGTTGTTAAGTTTATCATCTGTACAATGAGGACTTTGGGCTGTGCTCACGATCTTCAAGACTCCTTACGGATGACGATGTAAGTCCAAATTCAAGCTGCAAAGGTAGTTCGACAGAAGAACTGACTGACTACTGTATTTCCTGGAAAGATAACCAGATGAGCTGGGACTTCAACTGAGTTTCTCAGAGGATACAAAGAATACTTGGTGAGTCAGACAGGGGTGGGAGAAAGAACATCCCATGTACGGACTGGGGAAGGAAATATGGGAGAAGGGAGAAAATGGACGCTGATGCTTGGAAGGAACAAAATGGGTAAAAAATGACAAACTTCCAAGGTAAGTAATCCATATAACTAATTCAAGGTACTGGACCTTATTCCCTGACTAGCATGTCCACTGAAAGAATGACTATATAGCCATGAGTCTTCCTTTAGTTTTCAGGAGGGGGCTGCTGTGTTCCTGACATCTAAGAGCCGCTGCAAGTCCTGCTTCTGCACGGAGCCTCCCTCTTCCCAGCATGTTCTTTCTCCTTCAGATCACAGATGAATGTGACCTAAAAGGCCTTCATGGGATCACAGAGAGGCTTCTGCCCACTCTTCCTAACCCAAGCACTCCTTCCCTGCTCTGCAGTAGTCCCTCTTTCATAACACAGGCTAGTCACCTGCTCATTGCAACCAGCATGCCATCGCGTTGTGCACTCTCTCCACCAAGAGTGCAGCGTTGTCTCTGATGTCATTCATCAGACTTGTGGCCTGGCCACTCAGGAAGAAACAAGGCTTAAATTGATTCATTGGGTCCAGTCCAATGGGCAAAGAACCATGAGTGGGGTTACAGACCTAAATCTGAGCCAAGCTTTAGGTCATCTGTAAATTGAATCTACCCCACGTGGAGGGATGGACTCAGATGCCCTATGCATATGGTCACTGTTAACAGGACTCTATCGGTTTATCCTGCTAGTGAGAAAAATCTGAGGCCAAGACACAAGTCTTCACCAAGTTCTCTAGCTGATATAAAAACCGGGACAGTCAAGAAAATAACCTTATATTTTCAGGAGGAGATAACCCAGTTTTTATGTTGATGACTATTCTGAACTAATCAAACCAACATCTTTATGATTTTCTGGGTTAGAATGAGGGATAATCATATATTTGGTATTTTGAAGTACTTATATAAGAGAATTTCACACATTAAAATAGCCTTGTGTTTTTAAAATGGTAACAAGATTAATGGAGTTTGGGTTATAATTTTAAGCTAAAGGGAATAAGAAGGATATGCTAAAATACATTTTATATATATAAATGTTACAAGAATGTAGAGAATATTGGTATCACCAGGTTTATAAATTTAACTTTCTAGTTTTATAAGGGTTAGTTAAATGCCTGGGAAGATTTGTATCTTAGTAGGAGTTCTTAAAAAGAGAAAGTATACTAAAATTGTAAAGGCCAATTAAACTACTTATGGGAATAAGTCTGAAGTGACATTTCAAAGCTTACTGTTAAAATTTGCTACATTTAGACACCTTAAGAAATCTTTGATGCCGAACTCAGAAGCTTATAGGGGAGCTATGTGGCCAGATGTGCAAACACTGAATACATTTTTTTAAAAATAGCACTCGAATAATCTCTCATGAATAAAAATTGTCCTCCAAGATCCCTAACATGCCATAAGGATACTTCCTTTAAAAATGTTTTCTTAATTGCCAGAGGGTATGTGTGATCACCATCGAGACAGAGACAGATGGAGAGGCAAAAAGCACTCCCTAACAGGGTGTGGCCATGTCACAATCCCGTCCTTCATTTTTCTACTCATCTGGGATTTTGAGACATGCATGCACGTGCACCTGGCATGTTTGTTAAGTCACCAGGGCCAGGATTTGAATTGTACTGTCAGCCATGTGGGATTAGGTTCCCTTGAGCATTAGGCTGTGGGGCTGGCTCAGGAGCAATTTTCATTATAATTTTATAAAATCGAATGCCTTTTTGGTGATATGGAGGAGTCCCACAAGGACAAAGATTTATTTACTACTAGGAGAAATATCCTTCTATTATTTAGAAGTCAGCTATAGTAATTAACCTTGTATAAGAAAGGAGATTCACATAAATCTTTGTTTTCCAAGTCATTTGTTGTTAAAAATTAGTAATCTGTGAAAGTTTGTATGTCCTGCATGAAGGACATAATTTCAACAAGGAGACATAAGAGTTGTTCAGTGATACCAGCCGCTTCACCGAACAGATGCCATACATTATCTGAGGCTTTCAGATCTGTTAGGACAATTTCCTTTTTCATCAAAAGACGACTGATCATCCTATATATCTCATTTCCTTTGCCATTATTCCAGCAAGAGTTCTGAGAGCATGCTATAATTAATGATGGTTGTGGGACCAGCAGTTAGTCTATTGGCTATGTCGCTGGACTCCCATGTAGTCGACCATGGTTCGAGTCCCAGACCCAGTGGCTTAAACTCAGACTGGGCGCGTGTGCATGTATGCCCACGATCCTGAGAGGAGAATGGAGGAAAAGGGATTGTGGCGTGGCCATTCCCCCTGGGAGGTGATTTCTCGCTTTCTGTCTCTGTTTCTCTCTGTCTTTCTGGTGAGCGCATGCACCCTATAGCAAAAAACTCTCCCAAAAAAAGAAAATTAAAAAAAATGATGATTGAATATTACTTTTCTACTAAAACAATATAATTTTTTTTTTAATTAAATACTAGTAGAAAGCCCAGGATTGTTCTGAATGGTTTATTTTCTTAAGTCTCTGTGAAGAATTGGGAAGGGAAACTGACCAAGGGCAGGTGTGCATCTAAGTGCCCACAAAATTAGGTTCTGTGAAGTTACAAGACAGCTGATGTTCTGTAATAGTCATTGATTCTCATCATACACTTATGCCAGAGAATTCATTTCATTAAACTACTGAACGTGATTCCTGGTAAAGGAAGGGCACTGGCCTCTTTTCTCTTCTATTCTTTGCGGCACACCCCTCTCCCAAACACAACGGAAAAAGAATGGAGCTTATGGCTTGGAATTTTCTTTCCAGAGTAAGTAAGATCAATCCTGTAAAAATAATAGTTAAAAGAGAACTAGGGGGTGGTACATTTTACTTGAAATGTTACTAATTCTACAGAATAAAACTGGTGTCTTTCTGGTTATTTATGTATGTGATTTAAATATTAGTAATCATGAAGTTAATGGAAATACTAGTAATTTGAAAATTTACAGACCTATGACTGTCTTTACTTCACTTCCCTTCTTACTTGTTGAGGTCGTACAATGGCTATATTTTGGCCAAGATAATATAGTTAGAAATAGGGCAGCAGATGGCGTAATGGTTATTTCACTGGACTCCCATGTAGTTGACAGTGGTTCAGGTCCTGGACCTGGTGGCTTAAAACTCATGCCTGGTGCATGTACATGTGTACCCAAAATCCTGAGAGGAGACTAGAAGAGAAGAGATTGTGGCAGCATGGCACCCAAAACTAGGGGATGATTTCTCGCTTTCTGTCTCTCTGTCTCTTTCTGTCTTTCTGGTGAGTGCACGTGCCCTAAAACCAAAAAAAAAAAAAAAAAAGAAAAAAGAAAAAAAGGAAAAAAAAAGAGAAAGGAATAAAGAAATAAACAAACAGACAATGATTTTACTATAACTTGAAGACTGAAGATTTCTCTGATTAAATTAGAAATTTCAGGTCACAGTGTCAGGCACTGTTGACTGGATTATCAAAAACAGGGTGAAGTATCCTCCTACTTCTCTCCTCCCATATACCCTCCTGTCCCCCATCTTAGCCCAAGAGTGATTAATTTTCTAACCTAGGGACCAGCAGTTAACGTAATGGCTATGTTGCTGGACTCCCATGTAGTCAACCGCAGTTCGAGTCCGGACCTGGTGGCTTAAACTCATGCCGGGCACATGTGTGTGCGTGCCCAAGATCCCGAGAAGAGAATGGAGAAGGGATTGCAGCGTGGTCATCCCCCCCTTGTGGGTGATTTCTCGCTTTCTGTCTCTCTGTCTCTCTCTGTCTTTCTGGTGAGCGCACGTGCCCTATAGCAAAAACCTCTCCAAAAAAACAATTCTAACCTAGCTGTCTCCAGCATTTAGAAATTGGCAAGATTCCTTGAGAACAGTTAATAACAATAGTAAAACTTATATACATTTTCTTGTATTTAATATAGTCTAGAAACTGTTAGACATTTCACACTTAGTATCTTATTTAACCCTTGAATATCCAAATTTTTCACTTGTCATGGTACACAATGCATGGTAAAATGCAAACCTAAATTTCCTGACAATGAAAACTTCTGCTCTCCTGGAAACAGGTTGCAGCTGCTGTGTTCATTACCTTACTCGCCACTTTCCTTCTTAAGAACCTCTGCAGCAGTCCTTGCATGGGCTCGCCATCCCACCGCAGCTGAATCCAGCGGAAGTGCTGCTGCACCAGCAAGTCAGAGCCCTGCAGACAGGCCTTGGCAATGGTTCCCATCAAAAAGCAGTTCTCATGAAAGTAATAGCATTCAGATGTCCCATTCCCTGAAATAAACCAAATGCAGTGGTCCATTTTCAGTAAGTTATATTATGGGACAAATACAAACTAGAACAAGGTAAGAAAAGAACAGAAAGTATACTCGGCCCTCTGGGAAACAGAAAGATTGGACAGTACCACAGAAGTTTGCTTCTCAGCATGGTCCCTTCCCTGTTGTTACCTTTTTGGAAAGTATAGGGGCTTTCAGTGCTGCGATTTTCTAGCGGTGCCAAAAAGTCCCCCAGTAACTCTGACAAAGATGACTTTTCCAAATTCTCTAAGATGATGATGGTTTTCTTCTTTACAGGAGATTGTTTCACTGGGATCAGACAATCTGTAGTCAGAAAGAAAATGAAAAATTAAAGCTTTTATTAAAATCTATGCAAATTTGAAAAAATTTAAAAGTTTGAAGATATAAAGTGTTAACAAAAATGTAGAACAATGAGAATGCCCCCCAAATTACTACAGAAATATAACAGCTCTGGAAACCAGTTTGGCATGATTTAATCCAACTGAAGAAACACACACACACACACACACACGTACACCCCTATGCACCTAGTCCCACTAACAGATCATAGAAAGAATCAGCTCAATGCCCACCAATAGGATGGCTGAAAAAAATGGAAGTATATTTATACAATGGACATAAAAGTGAACAAATGACAACTATAAGTAACAATGTAGACCATCATCATAAGCAATATATTAAGAAACACATCACAAAAAATATGTACAGGATGATTTCATCAAGTAAATTTCAAAACAGGCAACATTAAACGCACAATTTAGGGATTCACACGCAAATAGTAAAACTATAGAGAAAACCTAAGAAATAATTATCCTGAAAGATAGACTTGGTGGCCAGGCAGTGAGTGGTGCAGTGACAATGCAGCTGCACTCACATGAGAAAGGTCCTGGGTGTATGTCACAGGACCTCTCTGAGCACACCAGGCATGCAAATACCCATGACACAGGATGGTTGGAACTAGAGGACTAGATTTATGGCACTGGAATCTTGTAGAGGTGCCTGTCTGCCTGTCTCTCTCTCCATTTCTTTCTCTTTCATGGAAGAAGTAAATGGGTAAAATTAAAATTAAAAAAAAAAAATGACTAGTGGTTACTTCCAGAAGGAAGGTTTGTAATCAGCGGGAGAGGGATGGTGCAGGCCCATTCTGACATATAATGCCTCTCTTTCATAGTTTGGCTTACTTTGCTTAGCCGTAAATCATCATATTTATCCACCTTCTATCAAATGCCAAGGTATTCTTGTTTTTATATGACTGAATAGTATTCCACAGTCTATATGTGATACACTTTTCCAATCCATTCTTTCTTTTGTGGACACTTTGGTTGCTTCTATGTCTTGGCAATTGTGACTAATGCTGAAATAAACATGCATGTGCAAGTGTTTTTCCTGAGTGTATTCCTATCCTTTGGGTAGATACACAGTGGCAAAATTGCTGGATCATATGGTAGTTCTATCTGAAGTTTTTGGAGGAACCTCCATATTGTTCTTCACAGTGGCTGTACTAATTTATATTCCCACCAACGGTGTAGGAGGGTTCACTTGTGATCATGCCCTTGCCAGCACTTTTCATTCCTTTTTTTCCCCCTATTTATTTATTTATTTAATCTTAGCCATTCTGACTGGGGTTAGGTGGTATCTCATTGTGGTTTTGATGTGCATCTCCCTTATGATAAGGGATGTTGAGCATTTTTTCATATGCTTTTTGGTATTTTTTCATATGTCTTCCTTAGAGAGCTCCTTTGTCTATTTTTTTTTTTTTTAAGAGAGAGATTTTTGCTATCGAGCACGTGTACTCGACAGAGAGACAGAAAGCAAGAAGTCACCTCCCGGAGGAATGGCCATGCCACAATCCCTTCTCCTCCAGCCTCTTCTCAGGATTTTGGGCACAGACACATGCACACCTGGTGTGTTTTAAGCCACTGGGTCTGGGACTCAAACCACGGTCAACTGTTAGGGAGTGCAGCGACTCAAACCATGGTCAACTGTTAGGGAGTGCAGCATTGTAACCATTATGCCAGCTGCTGGTCCCTCATTTGACTATCATTTATTTGGGTTGACTATTTATTTTCAGGTAAGCAGCTTGAGTTCCTGTACATTCCGATTATCAGTCTCTTATCTGAGGCATATTTTGCAAATATATTCTCCCATTCCAAGCGTTGTCAATTCACATGAACTATTGTTTCCTTTGCTGTACAGAAGCTTTTTAACGTGACGTAATACCATTTGTCCATTTAAAAAATTATTCTCCATGTGTTGAGGGTCTTTGCCTACTCCGATGTATCCAAGAGTTTCCCCTGTGTTAGCTCATGTGATCCAGCAATTTTGCTGCTGTGCATCTATCCAAAGGATAGGAATACACTCAGGAAAAACACTTGCACATCCATGTTTATTTCAGCATTAGTCACAATTGCCAGGACATAGAACCAATCAAAGTGCCCACAAACAGATGAATGGATTGAAAAAGTGTATCACATATATACTGTGGAACACTATTCAGTCATATAAAAACAATGAGACCTTGGCCTTTTTTTTTTCTTTCTTTTTTTTTTTTTGAGAGTTTTATTTATTTATTTATTTATTTTGCTATAGGGCGCGTGCGCTCGCCAGACAGAGAGAGACAGACAGACAGAAAGTGAGAAATCACCCCCCAGGGGGGATGTCCATGCCACAATCCCTTCTCCTCTGTTCTCCTCTTGGGATCTTGGGCACGCACGCACACGTGCCCGGCGTGAGTTTCGAGCCACTGGGTCTGGGACATGAACTGTGGTCGGCTACGTGGGAGTCCAGCGACTTAGCCTTTACGCTAACTGCTGATCCCTTGGCATTTGATAGAAGGTGGATGAATATGAAGATTTACTGCTAAGCAAAGTAAGCCAAAGTATGAAAGAGAGGCATTGCATGTCAGAATGTACCTATAAAACTGTAGTTTCATAGTTTGAGATCTTAGGTTTACATCTTTGATTCACTTTGAATTGATTTTGTTAATGGTACAAGATAAGGGTACAGTTTCATCTTTCTGCAGATGGAAACCCACTTTTTCCAGTACCATTTACCAAAGAAATTTTCTTTTCTCCACTGGATTGTCTGGTGTCTTTTGCCAAAAATCAATTGGCTGTATGCTTTGGGATTTATTTCTTGGGTCTCTTTTCTGTTCCATTGGTCCACATGCCTGCTTTTGTGTCAATACCATGCTGTTTTGATTATCATGGCTTTGTAATATATTTTGGGATAAGGGAGTGAGATGCCTCCTACCCACTCTTCCTGCACAGTATTGCTTTGGCAATACAGGGTCCTTTATGATTTCAGACAAATTCTATGATTGTATTTTCTAAATCTCTGGTAATTTGATTGGGTTTTCATTAAATCTGTAGATAATTGACATTTTTATTATATTAATTATTTCAATCCAGGAACATGATTTATCTTTTCATTTTTGTTATCATTTTCAATTTCTTTTTTTAGTTTTTAATAGTTTTCCTTGTGAGATCTTTGACTTCTTTGGTTAGGTTTATTCCTAGGTATCTTATGCTTTTTGTGGCTATTGTAAGTGGTATTTCTTTCTTTGATTCTACCTTAGTCTGCTCCTTGTTTGTGTATAAAAAAGCTATGAATTTTTGTAAGTTAGATTTGTCTGAACATTCTGAAAATACTCTTGTTTCTTGGTCTGCTAAGTGGTTAAATGATTATTTTATTTAAAATTCATTGATCTATAAATATAAGTAATATGCATTTTATGTTTGCCTATTTCACAATACAAAATGTTAAAAACCTTTAAATGACCTTTAAATTATATATACAAAATGTTCAGAAAATTATGTAAATAGGACCTTAGAGAGACTAACCCTTCCCCTAATCTTATGTATCTCAGAGGGGCAGAAGTTATTTGACTATGGTTTCACAAAATGGAAGGTGTATACATTTAGAACTTCTGAGTGTTATTTTAGTACTCCTTCTACTGAGGATAGAAAGGACTGATTTTATATTGGCCCTAAATTAAAATCACTTTTTAAATTTCTAGAAGAGCCTAGGATGTCTCAGTCTCATAAAACTGAGAAAAAGAAAAACCCATTTTAAAATACATGAGAATATTGTCACATATTCTACTTCTCACAAATACTCATGATAATATAATCTCTATTTCTCCTTGTTACCATAGAAAATGCATTTTCACTTTCAAAAGAACTCCTTGAACACTGTAAGTGACTCTCTTCTCAGACTGAAATAGCTTTTCTGGATGCTATAAAGTCTTATTAAAAACAATCAGAGCCACCTCTCAATTTAGTTGTTCTTGTGGGGGCTGTTACTCTACTGTCTGGTGTGTGCCAGATCAACACAGCTCTTCAGTAAAGAATGCTGAAATTCTATGCTTCTCAGAATCCTAATGCCATTTTGGAAATATGTGTATTACAGTATGATAAATCCATAGCTGATTAAAACAAAGATAAACAAGGAAATCTTTTCTACTCAGTGATTAAAAAAGCACTCCAGGTTAATGGTTTATTTCTCTTTTTATAGCTTGGGACTGAAGCCTCAAGTTTTTCTTTGAAATATCTTAAGCATAAACCTAATTCAAAAGACTATGTTGCAACCAGTTAGAGTATACAGAACAGAACATTTAATGATATTTCAACAAATATTTACTCAATGTCTCCACGGTACATGTACTACTGTAATGCTAAGCACTGGGGCGAGCTGGTGCTAACTGATTCGAAATGGAGGTAGGGGGAAGGGATGACATTTTAAACTGTTTTGACGATTGTCATCTTACCAAAGGAAGGTTTTCCTAGTTTAAGAAATGGCACAATTAGAAAAAAGGAGCTGGCAGGGATCAGTCCTTGAAGAAAAGGGGAAATCGAATCAAGATTAGAATAGCTGCAAGAGTGGCAGGATGGTGATGGTGAGCTCAGAGAAGATGGATATTTAAGCCAGGACTGGGCTGGGCACAAAGGGTGGGACCACGTGAGTAGAACAAGATCAAGCAGGTATGGGTGTAGGTGTCAGTGGAGTAGCAGGCTGCCTCCATCCTGAGCTAGACATGAGAGTTACCTGGATCTATCTTGGCGATCCTCAGTGATTCTGATTTACTTGGTCTGTGCTGGGTTAGGGCATTAGTATTTTTTGTTTGTTTGTTTGAGAGGGTTTTGCTATAGGGTGTGTGCGCTCACCAGAAAGACAGACACAGAGAGACAGAAAGTGAGAAACCACTCCCCAGGAAGGATGGCCACACCACAATCCCTTCTCCTCCATTCTCCTCTCGGGATCTTGGGCATGCATGCATGCACATGCGCCCGGCGTGAGTTTAA